GTCATGTTCCAGGTCTTGCCACTGCATCTCTACAGGGCTAAGACTCCATAGAGTCTCTGACCGACTATGTGGGTCACGGTGACAACCTCTGCACTGGAAAGACAAGGGAGGGCAACTGGCCATATTGCCTTGGTTAAATCTTCTGGCTTTGTTACTGTGGACACACTGGTGTCTGGGGCACACTGCTTGCACCCTTCAAACTTCTGATCTTACTGCTGTCAAGATCCCATACTCCTGAAGTTTCTTTCCTTTTTTTAAATTTCAAGTTGGCGTCACACCCAACATGGGGCTTGAACTCATGACCTTGAGGTCAAGAGTCACATGTTCTACCAACTGAGCCGGTTTCTTTTTGTTACAAACATAAAATCTGATTCATAACAGCTTAAGCCCTAAAGGAAATTTATTATAGAAATATTGGGGTACTCAGTATTTGAAAGAAGTGTTTCCTCTTTGTAGGGGAGAGAGCAAGGGTGGTTCTGAGACCTCAGAGGTTCACAGACTTTGTCCCTGTGTGTGGACACAAACACAGCCCGAGCAATCCACTTTTCGCCTCTGTGTCTCTGGGCTCCATGGTTCAGGTTCCTGGAGTCCCAGTCTGATTGGCCTGGCTTTCTGGTCAGCTGTCCCCTCCGAGAACCAACACTTTCTGGCTGATGGCCCACAGTGACAACAGATAACTTATATGAGGCACTAGGATGGTGAAAGGGAGGTGTTGGGGGCACTCTTCCCACATAAGGTAGGGTTACTGAGAAGACACCCCAAGAGGTGCTTGCTACCTTTCCCTCTACACAGACCCCCTTCTGTACATTTGACCAGCATGATCCAACCACCCTGTTCATGACCACACTGGTACTTCCTGACTCACCCTCGCCTCAAAGGGCCAACCCAAAGTCATGTTCAGCAGTTGTAACCACAGTGTCATGAGTTGTCTAATCCTAGAGTCCAGCATCTCTGTTGTTTGTATCTTGTTGCTTTGCTCTTCAGCACATAAACATCTATGACCATGATAGCCAGGGCCACATTAAGACTTCTATAGACCCTACCACATTTGCCTTTCTGTACCCTTTCTTCAAAAACAAAATTCAGAACTGTATTTATGACTGTGTTGGACATGATAAATATATTCATATTATATATTTAGATATTTTCTTCAATCTAAAAGTTCATTTTCTATTTTAAAAGAAATGTAAACATTTTCATGAATCCCCAAAAGTACTGTGGACTTTTGTGTGTCTACTTTGCTCTGCCAAATGGATAAGTAGGCCCTGACTGTATCTTTATTGAAGATTTTATGCTTTATTAATAAAAAAATCCCTCTTCCTGTTTACTGAATTTTATCTTAATCAGGATATTTTGTTTAATGTCAAAAAACCTTGCTTTTTCTCATTTGCATTACCTGGTTTCTATATGATGCCTATTGTCTATTTTTAGAACATTTTTAATGGAAAATTTCAAACATACTAACATAGAGAATGGTAAAATGAATCTTCTGCTATCCATCAGCTGTGAGTTGATAAAAACTTTCAACTTATGGCCAGTCTTGTTTTGTCTCTACCTCACTGACTCCTTTCTCCTCATTGGATTATTTTGAAGTCGTCCCAGATATCCCATGATTCCTTTTGTGAACTTTTCAGTAGGTAGCACTGAGATAAAGACTCTTACAAATATGATCACAATTCTAATGTCACATCTAAAAATTAATAATCATTCTTATTATCAAATATCCACTCAGTGTTCAGATGTCCTAAGTTGTGTGTATGTGTGTGTTTGTTTAAATCATAATCCAAATGGAGTAGGTCAAACTCTATGAAGTCTTTTTTTTTTTATGATAGTCACACACACACACACAGAGAGAGAGAGAGGCAGAGACACAGGCAGAGGGAGAAGCAGGCTCTATGCACCGGGAGCCCGATATGGGATTCGATCCCGGGTCTCCAGGATCGCGCCCTGGGCCAAAGGCAGGCGCCAAACCACTGCGCCACTCAGGGAATCCCTCTGTGGAGTCTTTAAAAACATATTTCTTGGGTGCCTGGGTGGCTCACTAGGTTAAATGCCTGCTTTCAGCTCAGGTCATGATCCTGGACTTCCAGGATTTAGTCCCGCATCGGGCTCCCTGGTCAGCAGGGGTCTGCTTCTCCTTCTGCCCTCACCTTATTTGTGCTCTCTCTTACTCTGTTTCTCAAATAAATAAATAAATAAATAAATAAATAAAATCTAAAAAAAAAAAAACCACCACCACCATATTTCTTGGGACATCTGGGCAGCTCAGTCGGTTAGGCATTCAACTCTTAGCTCAGGTCTTTTAAAATTTTTTTATTTATATTCAATTTGCCAACATATAGTATATCACCCAGTTGAGCTCAGGTCTTGATCTCAGGGTCATGAATTCAAGCTCTGTGTTAGGCTCCACACTGGGCATGGAGCCTACATTTAAAAAAAAAGAGGGGGGAGCCCCCCTTGTTCCCTAAGTTATTTTTATTTACATTTTTTATTATGGAAAATTTTAAACATATAAAAGTGGCTTTTTATTTCCTTTTAAAAGAATTAATAACTATTACTTTTTTCAGTTTTTATTTTAAATACTATATATATCAATAACACAATACACACAAGGAAAGCCTTTTGGGATTCTCAATAATTTTTAAGCGTATAAAAGAGTCCTGAGGGGGAAAAAACATTAGTCATCCCTTGTTCCCACCCTCAGAGATGTGGATTCAATTCACCTGGCATGGGGCCTGGGCAAAGGTACTTTTGTAAAAATTCCCCAGGTGAATTCAAAGTGCAACCTGGGTTGTGAATCTCTGCTCAGAGACCTGCAGGAAATAAGCTAAAGGATAGAGTAAGAAAGCAGCCCTAGGACTGAAAGGGCCTCCTGTATCCAGTAGAAATGCCTGCAAGAGTAGGCGCGGAACCCCAAATAACAGTGGCTAATAATTGCACTACTGGGTATTTACCCCAAAGCTATAGATGCAGTGAAACACCGGGACACTTTCACCCCAATGTTCATAGCAGCAATGTCCACAATAGCCAAACTGTGGAAGGAGCCTCGATGTCCATCAATAGATGAATGGATAAAGAAGATGTGGTCTATGTATACAATGAGATATTAGCCCTCAGGAAGGACAAATACCCACCATGTGCTTCGATGTGGATGGAACTGGAGAGTATTATGCTGAGTGAAGTAAGTCAATTGGAGGAGGACAATCATTATATGGTCTCATTCATACTGGGAATATAAAAAATAGTGAAAGGGATTATAGGGGAAAGGAGGGAAAATGGGAAAAATTAGAGAAGGTGACAAAACATGAGAGACTCCTAACTCTGGGAAACCAACAAGGGGTAGTGGAAGGGGAGGTGGACGGGGGGATGGGGTGACTGGGTGACGGGCACTGAGGGGGCACTTGGCGGGATGAGCACTGGGTGTCATGTTATATGTTGGCAAATGGAACTTCAATTAAAAAAAACAGTGACTAAAAACAAATAGACATTAATTTTTCTCATATAGCAAGAAATCTGAGGAAGACAGGTGGTGGTGTTGGTTTGACCACTCGTTGATGCTATTGGACCCCGGGCTGTATCTTTGTACTCCACCATCTCACAACGTTACCCTTCCTTGCGTGTACTTGTCCCCTCATGTCCCCAAAGTGGCTGCTACAACTCACTATCACGTCAACAGTCAAGATGGAAGAAGTGAGTCACAGAGACAGCCATATCCGTTTCTTTAGCAGACTTCTGCTTTTGGGTCGCACTGCCATCCTTATTGCAAGGAAATCTGGGAAGGGGAAAGTGGGGTCAGGATGAGTATGGTGTGGGGTCAGCCAAACCACAGCGTCTGCCACACACCAGTTGGATCAGTATGTGGGAAGTCAGTGTCCAATTTCCTTCCCTGGGCAGGACTTGTAAAGCTGAACAATGGTGGTAATTTTAGACGGAGTTAGCCATTAAGTCAGCAAAGCAGGGCACCATGGGGTGAATTCTTACATATTTTCTTTGGCTAAACTGTAAGCACTTTTTTGTTGCTGTTGTTATTATAGCTGCTGTTCTGTTTCTGTCACCGTCAAACGTGACATTCATCAACTAAGAAAAGATGTGTTAGAAATATCTGACACAATTTAACTGTAAACATGCCCGATACTGCACTGTTGTGTCTTTAAAGAGCAATTTTGGGGATCCCTGGGTGGTGCAGCGGTTTGGCGCCTGCCTTTGGCCCAGGGCGCGATCCTGGAGACCCGGGATCGAATCCCACGTCGGGCTCCCGGTGCATGGAGCCTGCTTCTCCCTCTGCCTGTGTCTCTGCCTCTCTCTCTCATTCTGTGTGACTATCATAAATAAATAAAAAAAAATTAAAAAAAAGAGCAATTTTGTGGTGCTGCAAATTATTCTGAAGATACTAAATCTTGTATATGGCACATGTAGATGCAACACGGGAAACTGCAATGTGTGACTGCCACTGAGGTGTGATATTGATTGATTTCCACAAATAAGTCTATACCAGGTCCTTCCTGAAATCATTAGAGATGGCCCTACACTCACCACGCGCCCAGTGCCACGCACAGCGGCGACTGGTATCCTTCCTCGTCCCATTTCTGGGGTGCACAGAACCTCACTTGCTCCTTACTAACAAGCACCATGGAGATGTGTGATGTTGGACAAGGCACCACGTAAGGTGTGATTACCAAGAAGATAAACCGCTTGTGAGCGAGCTGTTAGTGAAGGGCTGTGCCAGGACTGGAGGAAACCATCCTGTCATTTCACTGTATCTGCTGCTTGAGGGCGGTGCGCACACCGAGAGCTCCACTTTATATTTCTGTGAGTCTGCTTTTGTTATGTTTTGGCTGTGAACCAGAGATGCTGTATATGTTGCTTAAGATTAGGTTGAACTGGGAGAGCAATAGTGGCTTAACCAAGATAGACATTTCCTTCTCACGTAGAACCCCAGGGCTGGTATGGTCTCCCACAGTGTCAGGGATTCAGGTTCCTTCTATCCTGTTCCGCCGGCTTCAACATGGCTCTTCCTGCTCAGGTCCAGTATGACTGACTGCTTGAGTTCCAGCTTTCATGTCTATATTCCAATCTGCAGAAAGGGGGAAGAGGAAAGAAGAACCCATCTCCTTTTTTCTAAGGTCATTTTCTAGAAGTTGCACACAGCTGTTTTGCATAAAGGTTATTGAACAGAATTTTTTCTGTGTATTTTTTATTGGAGTTCCATTTGCCATCCAGTGTTCGATTTGCCACCCAGTGTTCATGGGATGAACACCCAGTGCTCATCCCGTCACGTGCCGCCCTCAGTGCCCGTCACCCAGTCACCCCATCCCCCTTCTCACCTCCCCTTCCACTACTCCTTTAGTGAACAGAATTTATGTGTGACTGTACATAACTGGAGCGGAGAATGGGAAACTAGTACTGATTCTGGAAGTCCATGTGCCCTCGTAAAATGGAAAATTCTATTAAGGAATCAGGGATTATGGATATTGGGGAAAGAGTAGTGTTTTCTGCTGTGCCATGTCTCTAAACAATTTTTTGAGTAAGATCCAGAAATGGGGGATTGTGCAGCAGCTTTTATCAATAAGGGAGTCTCTTAATTTCCATAAGAATCATTAGTTTAAAAGCATACTTTTTGCCTTAATGAGGGGAGGGACAATCCAATGTAATCTACCCATCAATGGTGGCCTAAATGCCAACAGTTCTAGGCAAAGCATGAAACAGGAGATTAAAAACAAATAGGCTGCTTATTTTGTTTTGCTGGCAAACTTCCTACTAGGGATTTCTTTAAGTTTCTGGAGGCTGTTTTGGAGGCACCCAGACCAACACACTTTCCTTCATGACTCCACCATGGGTTGCCTCTATTGATTTGCCTGTCTCTGAGGTCATTGGCCTTATTGGAGCATCAGTAGAATAGCTACAATATGCATCCTTTAAAGATGATTTTAATTTGTTAGCAAGGCCATCCAGTTGAATTCTCAGAGACATATGCCATATAGTTATGTAGGTCTTTTTCTTTTAAAGATTTTATTTATTTATTCATTAGAGACACAGAGAGGCAGAGACACAGGCAGAGGGAGAAGCAGGCTCCATGCAGGGAGCCCAATGTGGGACTCGATCCCAGAACTCCGGGATCACACCCTGAACCGAAGGCAGATGGCCAATGGCTGAGCCATCCAGGCATCCCTAGTTATGTATGTCTTAAATCACTAGACTCCAGTGATCTGAAGATCTATTTAGCCTCTAAAGCCATATTATCTAATATAACTTTCGGGGATGATGGAAATATTCTACTTCTGTGCGATCCAGTATGGTGGCCACTGGCCCTAGATAGCTATTGAGCATTGAAATGTGATTAGCACCCCTAAGGAATTTTATTTTTTATTTTATTTAATTAATCTAAGTAGCCATACGTCACTAGTGGCTACTGCATTAGCACAGCGCAAAGGCATCTTGCTGTTTAAGGACTGTCTAAATTTGGATCCAAAAAATAATAATAAATTTGGATCCATTTTTACTAATTGGTGAAGAGCCCCAAGTTTAATTTGGATGTGGGATATGGAGAATTAAAACATACCAATTGATTCCTTTTCTCCTTTCTTGGGTGGAGAGTTTCAAGGGCAAAGGCTTTTGCCTGATCTCGGGAAGAATTTTTCTTCCCAAAAGTTTACTGAAATTTTAATCATAAAATCAATAAGGGAAGACAGAGTTTTTGGGTGCAGTACTTTTTAAAAATCAGTATTACTGAGATATGATTTATACCCAGTAAAATTTATCCTTCTTAGCTGAATTGTTCTAGGAGTTTTGACATTCATTGTGTAATCACCACAACAATCAAGGTAGAGGCTATGCTCCCTTCCCCCCAAAAAAGTTCCTCACGGGTACAATTGTTTTCAAGTGATTCCTGGTTAGTTTGTCATTAGTGTAATGAACAATTTTAATACCTGAATTGGATTTAGGTTATCTGTTTATTTTCTTTCTTTTTTTTTAAAGGCTTTATTTATGTATTTGAGATAAGAGAGAGAGAGGGGGGCACCTGGGTGGTTCAGTGGTTGAGCATCTGCTTTTGGCTCAGATTGTGATCCTGGGATCCTGGGATTGAGTCCCTCATCAGGCTTCTCATGGGGAGCCTGCTTCTCCTCTGCCTGTGTCTCTGCTGCTCTCTCTGTCCCTCATGAATAAATAAATAAAATCTTTTTTAAAAAGGGAGGGGGAGAGAGAGAGAGAGAGAGAGAGAGAGAGAGAGAGAGAGAGAGAAGAGAGAAAGCGAGCGCATGAGTGCAGGAGTTGGGGGAGAGGGTCAGAGAGAGAGAGAGAGACGGAGAAGCAGGCTCCCCACTGAGCAGGGAGCCCAATGCAGGGCTTGATCCCAGAACTCTGGGATACTAACTGACCTGAGCCAAAGGCTTAACCTACTGAGCCACCCAGGCACCCCTCTTTCTTTTTTTATTTTTAAATTAAATTAAATTAAAAAAAGATTTTATTTATTTATCCATGAGAGACACAGAGAGAGGCAGAGACACAGGCAGAGGGAGAAGCAGGCTCCTCACAGGGAGCCCAATGCGGGACTCAATCCCCACACCAGAATCATGCCCTGAGCTGAAGGCAGATGCTCAACTGCCGAGCCACCCAGGTGTCCCTCTTTCTTTTTTTTTTAATCTAAATTTTACTCAGTTAACACACAGTACAATATTGGTTTCTGGAGTAGAATTCAGCGATTCATCTCTTACATACAACAGCCAGTGCTCATCACAATGAGTGCCCACATTAATACCCATCACCAGGGATCCCTGGGTGGTGCAGCGGTTTGGCGCCTGCCTTTGGCCCAGGGCGCGATCCTGGAGTCCCGGGATCGAGTCCCATGTCAGGCTCCCTGCATGGAGCCTGCTTCTCCCTCTGCCTGTGTCTCTGCCTCTCTCTCTCTCTCTGTGTGTGTGCTATCATAAATAAACAAAAAAAAAATTAAAAAAAATACCCATCACCTATCAGGTCATCTGTTTAAATTCTGTTTTATTGGATTATGCCTCAGGGTGGAAGAAGTCACTGTGGTAATATAGTCAATGTGGCTTGTTGCGGCAGCCAAATGAAAGCAAACTGACGGTGAACGTAATTTATTGGTATTCAAAAGAATGCACCAGCCAGATGGATGCATGTATACTAGTCAAGGATAGATTTAGCAAGATCTTTTACTGAGGAAATGATAGCAGGTACAGTGCTAGCCATATTTTATTTATTTATTTATTTATTTATTTATTTTTACAACTAGATGAGTTAAATATTTGTACTTAGAACAGCCCCTGGCATTTATTAAGTACTACTTGAAGATTAGCTAATCTTCCTAATATTGCTATGATTCACAGTTAACTACCTTTTGACTGTCAATGAGTTCTATTGGTGGGATGGGTATCTCTAGGTTCTCCAACTATTTTATCATAATTGTTATTTTACATATTCTCCTAGAGACTTGACACTTTCTTCTTCTTCTTCTTCTTCTTTATTATTATTATTATTATTATTATTATTATTATTATTATTATTTTGTGTGGGGAAGTGGAACTCCAGAAGTTCGAAGTGGTAGCTTTTCCAATTTCCAGAATTGCATTAGTGAAGTCAAATAACATACCCAGGGACAGGTGAAATCACCACTGAAACTTTTTGGGTTTTCTGTAAACTAAACTCCTTCAATGTTACCTCTCTTTTTAAAAAATATTTTATTTATTTATTCATGAGACACACACACAGAGAGAGAGAGAGAGAGAGAGAGAGAGAGAGAGAGGCAGAGACACAGGCAGAGGGAGAAGCGGGCTCCCTGGGGGGAGCCTGATGTGGGACTCAATCCCAGGGCTCAAGGATCACGCCCTGAGCCGAAGGCAGGCACCCAACTGCTGAGCCACCCAGGCGTCACTCCTTCAATGTTATCTCAACTGCTGTCACCTTAGATGCTTGTCCTCCACATGTCCCAATATTAAAAATAGCCCTCTTATTAGATTAGATTTTCCTAATTAAAAGTTGCTGTTGATCCTGTATCCCAAGGTTCCTAGAATTCTGGGATATTTTCCTTGGTCCAAAGTGTTCTACAGAGTCTAGAGTGTCTCCAGACAGATCTAATATTGTAACAGGTCCGGAGGGACAGACCTTGGGCCTTTTTAGTGCTGTCCTCGGAGGGGATCTGGCTTGATCTTCAGGGCAAAACTCTTTAAACTCACAGGGGAATCAAAGGAGGTGTGCTGAAGCGCTCCCTTTCTGTACCAGGAGAAATGTGTTCGTCAAGTTTATGAGCTCTTTGTTTTTGTGATTTCCTTTGGCTTGGTTCCCAGCACTTTGAAACTGAGTGAGTTGAAAGCTTGCCAAGATCATTTCTATGGTTGAGGCGTCTATATGTGGTAGAATTGGATTGCTGGTGCTTCCTTACCCTCCTTTGTAATTTTATTAACTTGCTAGTGGGCTTGTTATGTTTTGGGGACTCTCATATCCCCAAATCTAATGAGCTGTGACCAGACAAGACAGTTTATTTCCATCTTCCCTTGCTTCTCTAATTTTTTTTCACTTTTCAATTCTCTAGCAGTTTTCACCTGCAGATGGTTCTGCCTCCACCAAAAGCTACTAAGAGAGGGCCTACATGTTTTTAGAGAAAGATTGTAGACTCTACTCTGCCTCTCCAGTAGCTATTAGTCACATGTGGCTAGGACAATTTAAATGTAAACAATTTAAAATTAAATGAAAAATTCAACTCCTTAGTTGCACTAGCCATTAGCATTTTCAATGCCCAAAAGTACCTGTGGCCAGTGGCTACTTGATGGGACAGCTCAGACACAGGACATTTTGTACCATAGCAGGAAGTTCTGTTGGACAAGCACTGGGTCTAGATGTTTTCTGATGATCACATTCACTTTACAGATACTAGCTCTCTCTAGTTATGTAGTCCTTCTTCTTTCCAAAGTTGATGTTGAAGGGTTTCCTTCTCTTGGTATGTTTTCTTTATATTCAGTCATGTAAAAATATAACTAGGGTTTGTTTAGTGACAGAGCAATGATTAGCATATTTTCGTGGCTGCTGTTAAAGGCAGAGCCAGACCACTGAAGCACTGGCGCT